CTGGCTTCCGTGCCAGTTTGGATCAAGGAGTCGGGAGGGAGGAGGAAGAGTTAAAGGAGATAATCTAGTTTCTGACTATGGGTGTCTCACAGCCAGGACTTGGCAGAAGCAGGCACCCTTTAGTGTTGAAGGAGGCACTTATTTTCAAAGAGGAGCTGACAGGCAAAGTGTAAGGATGTTCCTTCTTCTTTAATAGGTTCACAAAGCTGGGTTGTGGTGCATGCCTGTAATCCTAGCATTCAGGAGGCTGAGGCAGGAGGATCGCCGAGAGTTCCAAGCCAGCCTGGGCTACATAGTGAGTTCAAGGCCAGCCTGAACTACATAATGAGAACCTGTCTCAAACAAAACAAAGCAAAGCAAAGCAAAGCAGAGCAAAATGAAACACTTCATGGAGGTAAGGTTTAAATGCTATAAAATCCACTTGTGTAATTGTGTGATTCAATGATTTTTCACATTTTGCAGTTACACAAGCTGCACCCCAACCCAGCTTTAGGACGTCCTCTCCTAGGTTCCCTTATTTACATTCTGTCCCCGCTGCCAGTCCCAGTTCCAGACAATCACTAATCTATTTTCTGTGTCTATTGATTTCCCTTTTCTGGGCATTTTGTATAAATGCAATCATAAAATACGCGACCTTTTCTGTCTGGCTTCTTTTACTTAGCAAAATATTTTTGAGGTTCATCCACGCCGTAGCATATATCAATAGTTCTGTCCTTTTTATGGCTGAAAGCATTCCATTGTATTGATGGAACATAGTTGGTTCATCCACCCAGCTGGTGATTTGCATTTGGTTTCATCCATTATGAAAAATGCCCCTGTGAATATTCATGTACATATCTTTCCTTGGACAAATGCTTTTGTTTCTCTTTGGTAGATGGAATTGTAGGGGTTTTGTCTTTTTTTTTTTTTGTACCGGGACTCAAACTTACAACCTTGCGCTTGGCAGGCAGGTGCTGTGTCACTGAGCTGTATCCCCCAGCCCTTGTTTTTTTTGTTTTTGTTTTGAGACAGGGTCTTACTATGTATTTTGGGCTGGCCACTACATAGCCCAAGGAGGCCTCAAACTCATGGTGATCCTCCTGCCTCAGCCTCTGGCTGGAATTGTTGGATCTTATGGCAAATTTCTCTTTAACTTCGTAAGAGTTACTAAATTGTAAACTGGGCATAGTGGCGTGCCTCTGTAATCCCAGCACTCGGGAGGCTAAGGCAAGAGGATCGTTACAAGTTTGAGACCAGCCTGGGCTACAAATGAGCTCAGGGTCAGCCTGAACTGCATATCAAGACCCTATCTCAAAAAATAAATAAATAAATAAAAAATAAAAATTACTAAGTTGTTTCTCAAAGTTGTTGCAAAATTTACTGTTCCTAGTTATTAATAATATTCTTGCCAGGCATAGTGGTGCATGCCTGTAATCCCAGCACTCAAGAGGCTGAGGCAGGAGGATTGGTTTGAGTTCAAGGCCAGCCTGGGCTACACAGTGAGTTTAAGACCAGCCTGAACTACACAGTGAGATCCTGTTGCAAAAAAACAAAAAACAAAAAAAACCAATATTAGTATAGCTAGCAGTATATATGGGCTCGTTTCTCTGCACCCTCACCAGTACTTGCTACTATCTTTTATATCAATCCCATGCTAGTGGGTGTGGTGTGTTTTTATTCTGAGATAGGCTCTCACTAGTTTCCCAAGCTGGGCTCAAACTTGTGACCTCCTGCCTCAGCCTTCCAGAGCACTGTGATTACAGGTGCATGCCACCACACCCAGCTAAAACCAGTTTGTTGGGCCTAGGGTGTAGCTCAGTGGTACAGCACATGCTTAGCATATACGGGACCCTGCATTTGGTCCCTAGAACTGACAAAGGAAGAATAAAAGGATGGCCGTTTCACTCAAAGTCTAGTCAGGGAGACGGACCACTTTTTTTTTTTCCCCAGTACTGAGAGGCTGAAGCAGGAGGATCCAGGTTCAAGTCCTGCCTGGGAAACATAGGGAGATGAACCAGGTATTTCAGCAAAAGAGAATTTAATACAGGGGATTGGTTAAGTAGGGGATGGAAGAGTTGAGAAGCTAAATAGGATGGTCAGGGAACCTGGCAATCAGCCACAGCAGATGAAGGGGTAGAGCAAAGGGGCAACCCAATAAGACGTGCGGGACACAGTCAGAAACTCTCCCCGCCGCAGCGGAGTGCAGAGCTACTCTGGCTTTTCCCTTCCTCCCCAGTCTCCAGGCTCCCTCCAGCCCCTCCCATTGGACAGCCTGGCAGGATGCCAGTACACACAGCTCCCTGGGAAATGCAGTTTTCTGGACAAGGGCAGGGCACAACGCTGACCCACACAAAGACATAGAGCAGAGACATAAAGTCAAAGAACAAAGCATGTGGCCATCAGCGGTGAAATTGTCCTGGGTAGAAGAAAGCAAGTGCAAAGGTCCTGAGGCAGGAACCAAAACTAGGCGTGCGTGTGATGGTACTGGGTATAGAGTGCAGAATGAAAAGGGACAGGCACAGGACAACACCTTGCAGGGAGATACAGACATTTAGAGAGGCTACTGCGAGCTGGGGGTGGAGGCAGAAGTAGGAAATGGGATTCATTTTTTTTTTTGTGCCGGGAATCGAACTCAGGACCTTGCATTTGCCAGGCAGGCGCTTATGCTGCTGAGCTATATCCCCGGCCCAGAAGTAGAAAATGACTGAGAGTCACTTTCAAAAAGGGAAGGATCGATGGGGACTGGCAGGATACAGATGCCGTCGGCGAGAGACGTTTCGGAGGACGGAGGGGACTCGGAAGTGCACTCGAGAGAGTGTAGACTTTCCTTGGAGGCAGAGGACTGCTGAGCCCCAGATTGTCTGAGTCAGAGGGCCTGGCACCAAGCAGCCTTGGGGTCTGAAATCAGACAGGCCTGTCTTCTAGTCCCGGGCCCCCATGTTCCTGCGGGGCTGCTGTGGGCTGGCCCCTCCTCTCTGAGCCGGGTCTCCTTACCTTTAAGGGAACACGTGACTTGGGACATTGCGGCCTGCACTCGAAAGCTCATAAACGGAAGTTTTCGCAGCAGTAGGCCAGGATTCATGTTTTTTCTTTGGAGGGGTCATTTATCAGTTGCAAATAATAACAATGGCAGCTCCTTTTTATGAAACATGTATCAGGTCGCAGACACTGCAAAGTGCTCACAGGCACTCTCCTCCTCCTCTTTCCCTCTGGCTCATTTTGTTCCAGCCATGCTGGCTTTGTTCCCTGAGCTGCCTCAGGGCCTTTGCACTTGCTGATGCTGTTGCTAGGAACTCTTCTGCAAGAGATCCCAAAGATTCCCTCCCTCCTGGTCTTCAGATCTGTGCTTAACTGTTACCTTCCCCAATCAGTCTAATCCCCTGTTTAGACTTACCCTCCCCCAGAGTCCTGATCCCCTTTCCTCTTGATATCTTATTTGTATTTCTGGTCCTTTCTCTATCTCTGGTCTGTCTCACCCCATAGAATGTTCAGTTTCCCACAGCCAGCCATTCTAATTTGACAGGGTCTGGGATGTAGTAGATGTTCAATAAATCACTTGATTCTGGGTCTCTGTCCTCCCGCCCCAGTGGGCCTCTATTCTGGCCCCCACAGTGCCAAGTGCTGAGGCTGGAAGACAGGCCCTGGCCTTGCTAGACAAATGCTCTGGCACTGTGTTACCTCCTGGCCCTATGTATTTATTTATTTTGGTACTAGTAACTGAACTCAGGACTTGGTGCTTGCCAGGCAGATGCCGTGCGCTGAGCTACATCCCCAGCTATTTTTATTTTTTTGAGACAGTGTCTCACTCAGCTGCCCATACTGGCTTCAAAACTTGCCATCCTCCTGCCTCAGTCTCCTGAGTAGCTAGAATTACACACATGCACCCCTATACGGTGCTCCCCAAACCTTTTATGCATATGAGGTCCACCAGGGCTGAGACGCAGCCACTTTGCAGATGAGGAGACCGAGGCAGGGAGAGGTCATTGCCAGAGGGCCCAGAGGGGCAGAGCCTGTGTCTCAGGGTGGGCCCGCCGGGGAGAGCGGACGGTGCAGGACCCCCAGC